GATCTTATTTACGGTTTTTTAATGGTATATTCACCTTACTGCTGGTTCACTAATGCTGCATTTCAGGCTAAAATTTACTTTACTGCAAAAATCTTTAAGGTCTAAAGCTGACCATACACCAATATTTTTCTCGTTCAACCCAAGTGCTGAACGAAGAAAATATAACAGATTCCTCCATCAGCACTTATTAGCGTTGATCAAGGAGTCTCCGCAGTGTCCTGTGTATTCTGACAGCTGCTGGCGCACATTGGTTGCTGGCTCTGTTTGTTTGAAGATTTACCAACTCCCTCTTTCGATCAGCTGATTGAGGAATGCCAGCCGAAAGGGTGCCGACAGCGACATCCGCTGTGCAAATTCTTAATGAACCGGACGAAATTCGCATAGTGTACGGCCAGCTTTACTCGGCCAGGGAAAGATGATGTTTTCTCATTATCAACATACTGCTTCTAGACATAAATGTAAAAGTGGGTATTCAGAGAGCTGCAGATGACGTCTGCCTGAAAACAATAGCTTGAAGTTGGAGGTACCTCCATCCCACAGGTTAACCAAAAGAAATCCGACAGCGTATGGCTAGATCGGGTGCACAGGTCTGGAATCAATGTACTCGGTGAGATCTTGCCTAGCTAAACAGTTAAGAAAGGATTCAAGCTTACTGAAGTGCAATACTAATCCCTTAAGTCACCTGTATAGAAACCTGCACATTAAATATGTGTACAAAATATGGATTGTCCAACATATATAAATATAAAAAGAAAAAAATTAATTTATGGAAAACTTTACTGCAATACGTGAAAATATGAACGTGGTGAAATACACTACAGTCTCCTTAAACTTCAGTTTTATTCCAGAGTCCTGCATTAAGTGGATTATATTGATATGTATATAAAAACATTCATAAACTACACTTTCCCTTTAAGATGCCATCATGAATGTTATTAAAAGCACTTCCTCTGAACTGACAATTTGCAGCTACACACACAAGTGTTGCGTAAATGGGATTAAATGGCAAACACTTTGGCACCATGCTTTAATCACAGCTTTGCATATGTACACAGCACACCTCATCTGCATTGTACTCACACAAACATTCTCAGCAGTTGTCAGTGTGCTATTAGAGGAATATCCAAATTAATACATTCATATGGAACAATATGTTTACACCAGGACAAACTCGAACTTCCTGATGTAACATCTGACTTAAACAATGTTGGGTTCTTTGGCTAAAATCTGTGGCTGGACATTAAAAGGGATATTAAACCCTAGCAAGCAGTAGATATATGCAAAAACTTTTTTTTTAAAAAACTTTTAAAAACTTACCTGTGTCTTTGTCTCGCGATTCCCATCCAAACATCTGAAGTCTCGGGCTGCCGCAAAGGATCCTGGGGCGGACGCATGCCCACTTCAGGTGTTCGGCCGGGAGACGAGGAGACACACAAGGTAAGTCTATAGAGCAGCGTGCACCCGCACAGACTCTGTGGGACATCAGAGAAGAGGGGGGACAGAGAAATCAGTGCTGGATCGGAGACCCGCAGAAGATGATCGAATAAAGAGGCATCATTTAAGGTAAGTCATGACCCGAACATTGGGTGGGGGAAAAAAGAAATAGTCTTTAAATGTCACTTTAATGAACAGTTAAAATGGGAAATTTCAAAGCGCAAATACCTTGCTGCACATGTCAAGAAAATCCTTGAAAAACATGATGGATGGGCAATTTTCCACCTGCCAGCTATTGTATTCTGACAGTGGACATCCACAGCTGTGAAAATACAGAAAAAGTGACAGTTCATTGACTGCAGCCCCTGTTCCGTCAACAGTCGAGTGACTTCCTTTAGCGCCGGTCAAGTGCTCAGGCTCAGAGGAGCATGTTGGCAGAAAGACGTCACCAGTTTGCTGCAGGCAGGAGATCGTATTTTCTACGTCTCCTCCTCCATGTCATATCTCACTGGGATTTCTGTAACTTCCTCACAGCTCACATGATGAGAGGCAGCAGGAGGCAGCTGATCTGTGTGAGACAACACATGTACACGCAGCCAAGGGTATCAAACTCACAGACACAGGCACCAGGATATACACAATTGTGTCATCTATGAGCCAAAAAAATTGAGGCTGATCCTGGGTGACACCAAAACAAAGATGATATAAGCCTTCTGGGGCAAAAGGATGATAACTGTAACTTCAACCACATTACTGTTATTTTTTTAAGCGGCGATACCAGCAAATGTTATTATACACTACCTTCAGTCAGTGCATGGTTGGGGAACCTCCAGCTGTGTTGAAACTACAAATCCCATGATGCATCTGTCTTTGGGAGCCTGTGGGTGTGAGAATCTTGCATTGCCTCATGGGATTTGTAGTTTCACCACAGCTGGGAGGCCGGAGGTTCCCCATCCCTGATTTAATATAAAACTGAAAAAAATGTGCCTGTTCTTTGTGCGGTGGAACCTCATAGCTTCTATAAGGTCGGGAAACAGATTATTTGTCTTTTTTTACGTTTTCACAGGAGTGTAGGGAAG